GTACTGAGTGTTCAGCAGTTTTTGACCAAAATGATATAATCCCCTTGTTCCACTCTCCCTGTTCACCTGATCTTACCCCAAGTGACCTTTTTTTGTTTCCCCAGATGAAAAAAGTCCTCAATGGGAAACATCTTGCTGATGTGGAGGAGGTGAAAAGAAAAACAGCAGAAGCATAAAGGCTTTAGAACTGATGAGTTAAAAAACTGTTTTGGGCCGGGTTTGGTGGCTCAGCCTATAATCCAGCGCTTTGGGAGGCCGAGGTGAGTGAATTGCCTGAGCCCGCGGATTCGAGACCTGCCTGGGCAACTTGGCGAGACCTCATCTCTACAATAAAAAAATCAAAAAAATTAGCCAGGCGTGGTAGCGCGCGCCTGTAGTTCCAGCTACTCGGAAGGCTGAGGTAGAAGGACCGCCAGAGCCCAGCAGGTCGAGGCTGCGGTGGCTGTGAGCATGCCACTGCACTGCAGCCTGGGTGATAGAGTGAAACTCTGACTCAAAGAAAACACAAAAAACAAAAACTGTTTTGAGCAGTAGAAAAAGCATCTTGATAGTGAATTGCATGAAACAAAGAGTGCTTTGAAGGCGACTGAAGTTTAAACATGTAAGACTAAATACACAGTTATTAATAAATAAATTCTGGGTTTTTGGTCCCCTCTCATGTACACTATGGAAAGCCATTCAGTCATCTAGAAGAATGAAATCATGTCTTTTGCAGCAATGTGGATGGAATTGGAGAACATCATTCTAAGTGAGCCAACAGAAAATGAAACGCCATATGTTCTCACCTATAAGTGGCAGCTAAACTAGTGATCTGCAAAGGCACAAGGAATGGTAGAATGGATGCTGGAGGCCCAGAAGAGGGAAGACAGGAGACAGGAGGGCGGAGCGACGAAAAATCGCCTGTCGGACACTAGGCCGGCAGGGCGGGTCTACTTGAAGCGCAGACTTCTTCACCACTATACAATGCAACCGTGTAACCAAAAGCTACTTGTACCCCCTAAAGCTCCTGAAATAAGAAAGCGAGAAAGCCTCATGCAAAAGTAAGAGAAGCCTGCTGAAGATGAGCACCTTGTTCTCTTCAGATGGAAATGCCTAGAAAAAGCGAAAGCAGAGTTTAGAGAAAAAGCTGGAGCTGGAGCTGGAGCTGGAAGCAGGGTTGAACCCTAACTAGGCACGAGGGAACTTCTTGGAGTGACGGAAACATTCTAGACTTGGGCTGGGATGTTTGCGCAGCCTCAGACATTTTCGGACATTAGCTGTCTTCAGCTTGAGAGAGCTGATAGAAAAAAGACAGACTGGGCTTGGTGTCTCGCCCTGTAATCCCAGCACTTTGGGAGGCCGAAGAGAGTGGATGGCCTGAGCCTGCAGGTTCCAGACCCACCTGGGCAACTTGGCGAGACCTTGTCTCTACAATGAATCACAAGTTAGCCGGGTGTGGTGGCGCACACCCGTAGTTCCAGCCACTTGGAAGGCTGAGGCGGAAGGATCGCCGGAGCCCAGCAGGTCGAGGCTGGGGTGGCCTGAGTGTGCCGCTGTAGTTCAGCCTGGGCCACAGAGTGAGACTCCAACTCAAAAAAAAAAAATTAATTAATAGAGTTGTTCGGTTATAAAGGATGAATTTTTTGGTATTTGTACCTCAATGGAGCTTTTAAAATTTTGTTTATATGGACTAGCAATGAACTATAAGAAACTGACCATTTAAAAAAATTTAAATACTATTTACAATAGCATGAAAAATGTGCAATACTTTGTAATAAATCTGACAAAAGATGTGCAAGAACTGTATACCAAAAACTACTCAAAAAACATTTTTGAAAAAAATTAAAGAAGACCTAAATAAAAAGTGCATCCTTGGATTGGGAGACTCAATACTTTTATGCTGGCAGTCCTCCCAAAATTGATCTATAGATTCAACACAGTCCTGATCAAAATCCCCAAAGACTTTTTTATAGAAACTGATAGGCTGATGCCAATACTCATAGAAATGTGAAAACTGGCCATCCACATGCAGAAGAAAGAAACTGAATCCTCTCTCATCTCTTATACAAGAAATCAACTCAAAATGGATTAAAGATTTAAAGGTAAATCCTGAAACTGTAAAACTACTAGACAAAAACATAGGGAAAAGTTATGTGATATTGGTCTGGACAATGATTTCCTGCATATGACCCCAAAAATATAGGCAACAAAAGTCAAAAGAGACAAAGAGGATTACATCAAACTAGAAACCTTCTGCACAGCAAAGGAAATAGAATGATTACCAATGATTGGGAGAATATGTTTGTAAATCACACATCAGATAAAAAACTCAGATCCAAAATATATAATTAACTCAAACTACTCATTAATAGGACCTAAATAAAAGACATACAAAAGGTCAACAGATACATTAAAAAAAAAAAAAAAAAACTCAACACCCCTACTAATCAGGGGCATGTAAATACATAGTAAGGTATCACCTCATACCTGTTTAGAATAGCTATTTTTGTTTTGTTTTTTACTTTTGAGTTGACATTTCACTCTGTTGCCCAGGCTGGAGTGCAGTGGCACGCTCAGGCCACCCCAGCGTTGACCTGCTGGGCTCAGGCTGATCCTTCCACCTCAGCCTTCCAAGTAGCGGGAACTACAGGCGCGCGCTACCACGCCCAGCTAATTTTGTGGGTTTTTGTTTGTTTGTTTGCTGTAGAGATGAGGTCTTGCCAAGTTGCCCAGGTGGTTCTAGAACCCCGGGCTCAGGCAATCCACTCACCTTGGCCCCCCAAAGTGCTGGGATTACAGGCTTGAGTCACCGTGCCAGACTAGAATAGCTATTTTTTTTTAAAGACAGATAAGTGTTGATGAAGATGCAGAGAAAGGGAACCCTTGTACACTGTTGGTGGGAATATCAATCAGCACAGTAATTTTGGAAAACAGTATAGAGGTTCCTCAGAAAACTAAAAACAGAATTACCATAACATCCAGCAGTCTCACTTCCGATCATGTTTTCAAAAAAACTGAACTCGGTATGTCAGATATCCACACTCCCGTGTTCACTGCAGCATTTCTCACAATAGCCAAGATATGGAAACAACCTTAGTGTCCATCAACAGACGAATGGATAAAAATAATGTGCTCTATATGCACAATGGAAGACTATTCAGTCTTGAAAAAGATGAAACTCTGTCATTGTTTGACAACATGAATGAATCTAGAAGGCATTGTGCGGAGTGAAATAAGCCAGGTACAGAAAGACAGATACGACACGATCTCACTTGTACCTGAAATCTAAACACGGAACTCACCGCAGTGGAGAGTAGCGTGCTGGTTCTCAGAGGGAGGGAGGGTTGGCAGGGAAAATGGAAATTTTGGTTCAAGGGTACAAAGTTCCAATTAGGAGGAAGAAGCCCAGTGATCTGTTCCACAGCAGGGTGACTGTCGTTATACATATATATTCCAAAGTGGTTTAAAAGTGGATTTTAAGCCGGGCTTGGTGGCTCAGCCTGTCATCCCGCGCTTTGGGAGGCCCAGGTGACAGGACTGCCTGAGCCCGCAGGTTCGAGACCCGCCTGGGCAACTTGGCGAGCCCTCATCTCTACAATAAATCAAAAAATCAGCCGGGCGTGGTAGTGCGCGCCTGTAGTTCCGGCTACTCGGAAGGCTGAGGCGGAAGGATCGCCGGAGCCCAGCAGGTGGAGGCTGGGGGGGCCGGGAGCGGCCACTGCACTCCAGTCTGGGCGACAGAGTGAGACTCCAACTCAAAAAAAAAAAAAAAAAAAAAGTGGATTTTAAATGTTCTAACCACAAAGCAACGAAAAGTATGTGAGGGGATGGACATGTTAATTGGCCTGATTCCACATGTCCATGTATTGAGACATCACACTGTACCCATGCATGTATGCGATTATTATGTCAATTAAAAATTAAAAAATTTAAAACAAATTTATATGAAAGAATCCAGAATAGCCAAAATGCTTTTGAAAAAGAGCAAGCTGGGTGTGGCTCACACTTGTCATCCCAGTACTTTGGGAGGCCAAGGCAGGCGGATTGCTTGAGCCCAGGAGTTTGAGACCAGCCTGGGCAAAGTAGTGAGAACTTGTCCCTACCAAAAAAAAATTAGCCAGGCATGGTGGTATGTCTGTAGTTTCAGCCACTCAGGCTAAGGGGGAGCATTGCTTGAGCCCAGGAGTTTGAGGCTGCAGTGGCCATGAGTGTGCCACTTCACGCCATCCTGGGTGACAGTGTGAGACCCCCAACTAAAATGAAAAGAAAAGAAAAAGGACAGAGTTGGAGGACCAGCACTACATGTACTTTGATATCGGTTTAGAAGAATGGTTTTGTGGTGTGTATTTCATTTTTTTAAAGTGTACAACCTTTGGCAATTTCACTCAGAAATATACCCGCTCGGAACCCTGGGCAGCTGGGCCAAGATGTGTGTTCAAGACCCCCCCACCCAGCCATGACAGGAGGGTGGCAAAATTATGCTGCATTCCTAAGTGGACTGCAGCCCAGCTGTTCACTGTCTCTAGACTGGCGGGGTGTAGAGCGTTGACAAAACACACCTGCTTATGTAAAGTTTTACGGGAACACAGCCATGGCTGTTCGCTTTTGTGACATCCAGGCAGAGTTGAAGAGTCGTGACAGCGACGACAGAGCCTAATCTATTTACTGCCCGGCCCTTCGAGGGACGTTTGCCGAGTCCCGACTTAGTTTGTGTGCATCTCAGTGTGAGAAGATGTCACCACAAGGTGGAAAGACACATGACGTGAACCGGGGCCTTCCCTTGGCTCGTGCTAGAATGGACAGCATTTCTCTCCAACCGGAACCCAGGGCACCCCCGAAGGGGAAAAGCTGAGATTCCGGGTAGCCTGTCCCGTCCCCATGTGCAAGCCTGTTCCTGCCCGGCTGCCGCTTGCGGTGTGGGCTCGAGCCACGACCCTCCTCCGGACTTGAAGTCCCCCGCCCGCGCCGCAAGCGTGGCTGCCCCTGCCCGCCCCCGGGGCGAGGGGCCGAGGGCGCCCTACCTGCCCGCGGTGAAGCAGGACCCGTTGGCGGCGCCGATCGTCGAGAAGGCCACGAACAGGGGGACGACCCACGAGGCTGGGTAGAGGACACGGTCGCCGAAGGTCTGGGGAGAGAAGGAGCGGCGTCCTGAGGCTCTCGCTGGCCGCCCAGAGCCTCCGGGAGACCCAGGGCCCCACTTGGCCGCTGGGCGCAGCCTCTGACTCGCCACTGCAGAGGGGAGAGGACACCGCTCGGAAGAGAAACCATCGTGCCTTTAGTGTCTCAGCTCTTTGGACGCAACAGAAATCTCTTATCCACCACTCCCTGGCGTAATTCTTTTTTTTTTTGAGTTGGAGTCTCACTCTGTCGCCCAGACTGGAGTGCAGGGGCCGCTCCTGGCCACCGCAGCCTCGACCTGCTGGGCCTGGCAATCCTTCTGCCTCAGCCTTCCAATAGCTGGAACTACAGGCGTGCACTACCACGCCCGGCTCATTTTGTATTTATTGTGGAGATGAGGTCTCGATGCCCAGGCGGGTCTCGAACCCGCGGGCTCAGGCAATCCACTCGCCTCAGCCTCCCAAAGGCGAGGGATTACAGGCTGAGCCACCGAGCCTGGCTTCTGGCGTAATTCTTAGTCTTTTTTTTTTTTTTTTTTTTTTTTGAGTCAGGGTCTCACTTTGGCCCCCAGGCTAGAGTGCAGTGGCACGATCATGGCTCACTATAGCCTGTCTCCCAGAATGCAGGCGATCCTTCTGCCTCCCTACTAGCAGGGACTATAGGTGCACACCACCACACCTGGCTTATTTTTAATTTAATTTTTTGTAGAGATAAGGTCTTGCTATATTGCTCGGGCTGGTCTTGAACTCCTGGGTTCAAGTAATCCTCTAGTCTTGGTCTCCCAAAATACTGGGGTTACAGGCACGAACCACCACACCCAGCCAAATCTTAGTCATGTCAGTATGCTCCCAATACCCCAGCTTCTCGCTTGACCCCCTCCCTTAGAATGGGCCTGTTCTCCCTCCCGCCGCAGCCACCCAGTCCAACGGTCAGTGACCTTGCTGCTCATTCACACAGCACACCCCGGATCCCGATCACCTCATTGTCTGATTCCAGCCCCATGAGGTCTCCTGCCCACGGACCCCGCTCTCCGCTGACCCTCACACCTGCCACCCTTGTCCTTGCCTCCCTACCCAGGAGAAATGCCAGGATCCGTTATTACAACGACCTCCCTCAGCCCCCTGGCGCTCTCTGCCTCGCCTTCATGCTTGTCGGTCAAGACTCCAACCCTGGCTGGCTCAGCCCTGCCCTCCAGCTCCCTTCTCCGGGTGCCCAGGTGGCTGGTGCAGCTGGTGACATAGCCCCCACCTGCCTGTGACATCTCGCTAAGGCCAGGTCTCTCACCTCTGCTGGGTCTTGGGGCTGCCCAAGTCCGTCCACTCCCCTGGGCTCCTCCTTCCCTCGGAGGGTCCCTCCACCTGAACACGGACACCTTGCCGGACCCCTGCCCCAAGTCACCGTCCCCTCCGGCGGCAGCGCGCGGGCTCTCACCACAGCCACAGCCTGGGACTGCAGGAGTTCCGTGGAGGTCATCACAGTGAAATAGGCGACGTTCATGAGGATATAGCACACCGTCACCAGAGGGATCCCGATGACAATCGCCAGGGGCAGGTTTCTAGGAGGGGTAGTGACACGAGAACTCAGCCTAGACCAGGCTGTCCGGCAGGGGACTGGCGAGCTTGTGGTGGCCCGGTCCCTCCCTCCTCCGTCCCTGGCCAGCCCTCCACCTGCCCCCGTGACGGGCCAGGGCCCCAGATGCCTTCCCCGAGGCCCTGGCAGGCGGGGGATGTGTAGGACAGCAGAGCCCCTGCAAGGACGCGAGACGTTTTGAACTGAGAGTTCTCCCTCTCTCTCACTCCGGAGCAGTAAAGTTAAATGGTTTATAAAGAAAAGAAGCCAGAGATGAGGGAACCCAGAGTTCGTCCTGCCCCTGAGCGACCATTCCACTGCCCCAAACAAAACCCAGCTCTCACGAGGGTCCCATGTGCTCATGGGAAACCCTCCACTGCCTGGAAGCGGGTGGTGGATGATGGGAGGAAGCGGCCCACGTTCTGCCTGGAGAAGGAAGCCAGCTCGCAGGTCCGCAGGCTTCCGCCCACACTCAGTCCTCTCACCTGTAAGGGTTTCTAAGTTCTTCTGTGATGTAATTGAGTTGATTCCTGGACAAAGAAAAGTAACCTGTGAGGCCTATCTGGATTTAAGATTGTGAAACGCACGATCGTAAATGTTGGCCTCCTGCCAGGATTCTAGGGTAAGTTCTTTCCAGGAAGACCCTGGTGATGGGAGGCCTGGCCCTGACCAAGACCTGTGCCTCTGTCCATTGGTCAAGTCTTTGCCTTCCGTGGGAATCCCATGGGTTTTCAGGAAGACCTGGGAGTCATGAGTCGCCGGTGTGCTTTGAGGGAATGGAATATTCTTTGAAAAGGGAATGAGAGCTACTACGCTTTGCAGCGGGGAGAGACTAGTGTCTGGGTAGCCATGCTTCTTCTTTTTTTTTTTTTTTTGAGTCAGGGTCTCACTCTGTCGCCCAGGCTGGAGTGCAGTGGCACGCTCACAGCCACCCCAGTGTCAACCTGCTGGGCTCAGACAATCCGTCTGCCTTCGCCTTCCAAGTAGCCGGAACTACAGGCATGGGCTACCACACTCGGCTAATTGTTTTTTGTTTTTGTTTTTTGATTTATTGTAGAGACAAGGTCTTGCCAAGTTGCCCAGGCTGGTCTCGAACCCGCGGGCTCAGGCAATCCTCTCGTCTCGGCCTCCCAAAGTGCTGGGATTACAGGCTTGAGCCACCAAGCCCAGCCACCATGCTTCTTCTTAAGCAGACACGCACAGAGTCTCATTGACTAAAACCTAATATTGCCAAGGTTAGATAGAAGTGCTACCGCGTATCCGTTGCTTGGGCAGGAGCGGAGGCAGCCCTGGCTGCCTCTGATTCGGCTGAGCCGTATTTGCCTGGGACCCTTCACAGGGCCCGACCGAGTGCTCTGGAAGACGGCGACAGGGGCGGCCGTCTCGGGGGCCGTGGGTCCGAAGGGACTAGAAGGGTGAGGGGATCACAAAATGGGGACGTGAAGGCACATGCTCAGGTCACACCGAACCCCAGGAAGGGGGAGTCCCTGCGTCCCACGACAGTCGAAGAAGCCCACCCCCAGACTCCGGACGCCCCAGGGGCGCCTCACCATCCGTCGTAGGCCCAGAGGCCGTTGTAGAACGCCAGACTGATGGCCCCCACGGACAGTTTTGCGCCCTCGAAAGAGTTCTCGAAATTCCTCGTGTTTCCTGAAAGGAAGCCAGACAGTGAATCGTGGGTGTCTGCGCTCAGCTCCGGGAGGAGAAGGAAGACTCACAGCCTCAGGGTGTGGGAGCCAGATGCCCCAGATGCCCCTGGCGTGTTCCCCCACGCTGCCTGGGAGGCGCGCTCACGAGAGGAGGCCCGGCGGTCTGGACGGCGGCCTCCCGGCCCGCCCCGTCACCTTGCGCCAGGAGGACGATCCCGCCGACGATGATGACGGACACGATCACCAGCTTGGCCGCCGTGAAGACGTTCTGGACGTAGCTCCCCAGCCGCACGCTCAGCGCGTTCACGGTGATGATGAGCACTGGGAGGGGCAGGGGGCGCGTTCTGCGCTGAGGTTCCCAGCCCGGGTTTGGAAAGCGCCTCCTTTCGCGCTTTTATTTTTTGTTTTTTGAGTCGGAGCCTCGCTGTGTCGCCCAGACTGGAGCGCAGCGGCCGCTCC